TGTGGGGTGCGTATCTTCCTCTTGACCTCCAAAGGTTGCATTACCAAAGTTGATATTTATGTAACAGAAATGGGCGGGGGGGGGGTAGGGAAGATCACTCACATGACAAAAGAGGAAGCATATCAACTATTTTTCATTTTAATTAAATCTAAATGTAAGGAAGTGTGCATCCTAGTTTTTGCCCTAGTCCTTTTTTTATTCTTCGGAGGTTACAGCCCCAGTGCCACTTTTTGTGATCTCCTGCCACTGCTGGTTAGCCCAATACCCCTCAGCTATTGGCAAGGACCCTTTGACGAACTACCCTGTAAGCAAGCTCTAGGTAGTAGTACTATTAGTAGTTTTATTAATTAAGGAGGCCACTTCTCTACCGTCCTTACTCAGATGAAAGGAATCTCTTGTCAAGGGAGAGCTGGGGGGTGGTGAGTTGGTGCCCGCGTCCCTCTCAAAAACAGAGATCACTTCGTTAGGGACCAGCCTGCTTTGGGGACTCGGCAGTGAACTAGCACCTACTGGGGAAAGCGCCTTTTGCTCTACCTTTTGGATAGCCAACCTGTGTGCCCGTGCCTTTGCCCTCCGGTTGGCACTCTTAGGAGTTAAAGATGATCTCTCACCAAGACCGAGTCAGCCCGGACAGCCCTCCTCCTCCTCCTCCGCCAAAGAATAAGCAGCTCAAGTCCATCTAGGGAAATGGCTGGTGCGAATTCAGTCCTAATGCCTTGGACCTGATCCAGCCTCAATTCGTCCTTTGAAGTCGGCTCAAGGGGCTGCAAATGCATGCATTAATGTGACCCAGCTCGGTCTCTTTTCAAAGCTCCGGACTTGGGCTAGGAAGCCCAATGGCACAGACCTCGGTGGCCATTGGATCAGTCTCTAGGGCCACCAACTAAAAGCAATTCCTTCCCTTCCTGTCCCCCCACCCCCAGTACTTCCAGTTTTCGGGACCTCTAGCTTCAAGGCTGCTTATTCGCAGACCAGGTGAAATATGTGACGTTTTCAAGCTGCTGCCTTCTATAACCTTCCCAACACATGGTGGCTACGAAGCAATTGCTCTGGTAGAAACTTCTCCTTTCCTGGATTGCAGGGGATAGGAATCCCCGCCTGAAAGTGCTGCATCTGGTCAAGTCAAGTTATTTATCGGCCGGGAGGGTACACTGCCCGGATATATGTAGGAAGAGGCATCGGGTTGAAATCTGCAGAGGATGACGGTGAACCAGCTTTGCTGCTTGCCTTGTAAACGAAAACCTGTCCTCTCCAGCCCGATAGCCACCTGCAGTTCCTTTCCCGTCACTATGGTCTTCCAACTTTGGGCACTTAGTGCCAGACTTGGTCTGCAATCTCACACATTTTTGCTCAAGAGTAAAATCCTTCCCAAGAAGCATGCAAAGGCCTGCAAACTTTTGACATTCCAACATGTTTGGATGTAAAACCCATTAAGTACCAGCAGAAAACAAAGTCGACTTGGTAGTTGTGTATGCGTTTCAGCAATGACAAATGTTACAACCCACTTTTCTAAAATACTCGGAATCGGCAGTGTTAGACATATTAATGGTGACTTCTGGCTACGACCCTCCTAATTATATCAGTGTCACTTCCCAGTGAAGAGGGGCAAGATCATGCCTCTTTCCTGGCGATACAGTGCTGCCTATTTGGGTGGTGGCTGGCCTTGCCAGCTTGCAGATTAAATCTACTTTTACATATATATCCAACTGACCGACTCAGCACTGCAGCCCATCTTCTCCGGAGAAATCTCCACGAGCCTAGATTATTGGAGAGCAGCCGCAGACTACGGTAGAGAGAGTAGATCCAACCAACCAAGCAGATAATATATTTTTTATTAGCCCCACATGTTGATGGGAGCTGTTACTGTGCTTTGGATTTTTGACCAATAGTTGGCTCATTAGAAAAAATATCTTTGCATTTACTTACTGGGTAAGATGGTGCCAAGAATGAAAGTAACTAGGGACCTGAATACTTTTGCATCAACTGTCTAGTTGAAATTAATCTCTTTCATGTGGGTTAATTGTACAAGAACTGACATTTGCCCTCTCTGGGTGTGTGAAGGGCTTTCTAAATTGCACAGGGCCTGCTGGAAATCAAACGGGATCCCTCCAGATTCCTATCATTTACATACATACAAGCACACTTCTTTGGCTGCAGACGACTTAATATGATTCCGATGTTACTACATGGAAGTTTTCTCTCCCTGCCTGCACCTCATTTTCTAAATCAGTTTAAAAAAGATTTTCATCTCAATTTCAGCTATTGGGGGGGGGTAGAGGGAGAAAGAAAGAAAGAAAGAAAGAAAGAAAGAAAGAAAGAAAGAAAGAAAGAAAGAAAGAAAGAAAGAAAGAAAGAAAGAGAAAAGGAAAAGGAAAAGGATTTAGACTTCACCAAAAGAGCAGCCCTTGCTTCACCCCCTGGAAAACAGCCGCAAGTACTGCAAGGTTCAAGGAAGTAGGGGCTGCTCCCCCAAAATGAGCTGGCACAACCCCGGAAACATTCCTCCGCCGTCTTTCTGGCACAGCTCTTACTTAGAAGTCTAACTGAGGCGGAAGAAGCTGTTTCTGAAACACAGGCCGAAATAAACTGAGCGATCCTTTTCATCAGGCCACACTCAGACTTTCCAGTAAGAGCATCCAGAGCAGGAGTGAGTAGGCATCGGAAAGTCTCCGAAACGTGCAGAACTGCAAGCCACCTAGTCCAGAACTCTTCTGTTTGACTTGTTGGACATTTGGAATAACTCGGACTTCCTTAATCCAGCAGTTCCTTAATCCAGTTGTGAAAGCTTGCATGTGTTGGGCTCTTGGTGCTAAGCAGGTTTTCTTCCTCTATATTTCTGGCCTAAATCTCTCTCTGTGCCACAGTATTTTATAGAGGGGGGTTCTTCTCACCGCCTTCGGGAGATATGATGCCTTATGATGTCCTGGGGTGTCCTTCTCTCTTTGTTTCTGGCAGAATTTCGGAGTCCCAGGAACTAGATTTTGGAAGAAAACGATTCTCCACTCGTTTCTCCTCCGAAATGGTTGACTGGATTTGAAATTTCACCCCCACTTACCTGGAACAAAATCCTCCTAGACTCCACAAGATTAACTCCTGAGGAAGCTTGCTCAGAGTTCCACTGCTACTCTCCACTGCTTGTCAAAACTCTCGATCATTCCCGTTATGCTGGCTTCCACCAAAGCAGTTTCATTGAAATATGAGGAACAAGCGTTGAGGGATGATTTGGACAAAAGTACTTGACTCCCGGAAGATAATTTAGGTCTGTGACCAGCGAAGTGCAGACTGAAAGTAAACCCGAGTTCTCAGAGGGAAGGCCCAGGGGATAGCCGACAGTGGACCTGGCTGCAGCCTTCAAATCATCGTGCAGTTGGCCGAGGCCAGGGATTCCCATCAGCGGAATCCCAGCCCCTTGCCCTGCCATGGCTATATCAGAAGGGCAAGTTCAGCAAAAAGGAAAAGAAAAAGGGGGGGGGAGGAGCGGTGGTGGGGAGAGACAGAGATTGCCACCCTTTTCCTATAATACCTGAATACTTGTATTGTTTCTTAGAAATGAATGGAACTTGTTTGTAGTGATACTATGGAAGTTTGGGGCACTCTTAACCCATAGTTCCATATTATCGCTCGATCTAATGTCTGGAAGCTCCACCAACCTCCCTATTGACACGGAAGCGAGTCTTAATGAAATAAAAGGAATTTGCATCCGGATAGATAAGCAGCTACGGTCAAATTTTAAACTGTACTGAAACTCCTTGGATTTATTTTTAAGAAAATGTGTGCGAGCGGGTGTGTTTTTAAAGGATGGAATTGGGTAAGACCAAAGTCCAGGCCAGGCTCATTCAAACACAGACCTCACTGTCCACTAAGCTGACATCTAGGAAAAACTCAAGGGCTTGCCACTGAAAAGAACGGGTGACCGGTTGGAGATTTAGGACTGAACCTCAGAAACTGTTTAGATGTGATCATCACTCTGGGTTAAAATGTATAAATGAGGTGGGGGGGCGCTTTCCCCCACACTCACTAGCACCTCCTATGAAGAATACAGTATTTCTTCCAGAGCTGGAGGCCTCTTTGCCTTATTTTAAAAGCAGCATGCATGCACGGAGGGTGAAGTCACATTCAATATTATTTAGATACTAGATATAAAGATTTAAAAAATCAGTATTTTTTGGCTTACTGTATTGACAATTGGCTAAATAGGAGCTTATCACGCTTGTGACATCTTGGTTGATGGTAATCCAGTTGTTTTTCAGTTAACAGATTTTGAGGCATTGCTTTCCCTCTCACTGATCCCCCACTGTTATAATTAAAAATGCAATTTGAAAAGGCTACACTCTTAGAGACCCTTACCACAGCGTTGGGCCATTGACCTCTATGGGATCTACTTCTGAGTTGGCAGAGGAAGAGCCTTAACTGGCAAATAAGACAGTTTCTTGTCTTTTTTGATGTTAGACTAGGAAATTAGAGACACAGATAAAAGGAACAAAGCCAGTTGGCTTCCCTTCAAGGAAGTTCTTTCTACTTCTCCACTCCTATTCACTGAAAACTTACTTCCATATCTACTCGGCTAGTTTTCCGAAGACGTGGCTTGGAATCCAAGCCGAATCAGAGATATTTATCTTGGCCACAGCCCGATTTTGCTCTCGAATAAAACTGGTCCCTGCGGTAACCGATCGCAAATCGCGACAGTCATACCGCTCCCCAAACTAACTTTTCCAAAAGTTAAAAAAAAAAAAAAAGTGTTCCAACGCAGACAGAGAAGCCCTGAGTTTCCCTTCCTTTGTACAGTTCCCAGGCTGCCGGCGCCTTCCTAAACTGCAGCCTCGCGCCCCCGAGGGTTTGCTTGGAAGGGAAGGGAGGCTTACCCCCGAGTCAGTGCAGAACACTTCGGACAGGACTGGTTAGCCACGCCGAGGTGAAGGCACGTGCACACCCCCTTCCCGACTGTCCCCGAAGCAGAGCTCTTTCTGCAGAGAAGCGGGAGGGAGGTCGGCTCTACTTACTCGTACCTTTCTTTGGCCTCCGCCGCCCGGTCCCGCTGCCTCCGGTTTTTGAACCAGTTGCTGACTTGGGTGGTGGTGAGCCCGGTGGCCTCGGCCAGTTCCCGCTTCTCCCTGGGGGACGGGTAAGGGTTATGGGCGTACCATTCCCGCAGGACGCTCCGGCTCTTCTCCTTGAAGCAGTAGCTGGTCTCCTCGCCATCCCAGATCGAGCGGGGCAAGGGGAACTTGCGGCGGACCCGGTACTTGCCGACGGCCCCTAGGGGTCGCCCCCGCAGCTTCTCGGCCTCGATGTAGTGCGCCTTGAGCCACAGCTGCTGCAGCTTGGGGTGGTTGTGCGCCGAGAACTGGTGGCTCTCCAGGATCTTGTAGAGCTCGCGAAAGTTGCCCCGGTGGAAAGCCACCACGGCCTTGGCCTTCAGGACGCTCTCGTTCTTGTGAAGGTGCTCGCAAGCCGGCAGCGACCAGAGGAAGCGGCCCAGCCTCTCGATATTGCCCCCTTGCTGGAGCACTTCACACACGCAAGCCACTTGCTCCTGGGTGAAGCCAAAAGTGGGCAGCATGGACATGGTGGCGCGCCCTGGAAGGCCTTCCTGCCGTCTCCGCCGGCCCTCTTATCGCATCTGCCCTGGCCGAAAGGGGGCACCCGTCCGGACCCAGCGTCCCGCAGGCACCGCCTGGGGGGAACGCCGACAGGGAGGCAGTCGGGGGGCGCGCGCGAGCCAGCGACGCTCGGCGCCAATGAGAAAAGGGCTCCGCGAGGGAGCAGCCAACCACAGCGCGCGCGAACTGCTGACTTACGAATGGAAGCCCTCGGGCTAGGTCAGCGCGGGTGCTGCTGCCCCGGCCGGGGCACCCATGGAGCCGGAGAAGCTTCGCGCGCAAGGGAGGCTCCCAGGCAGCGCCCGTGCCCACGCCCGACCTTTGGGCTCCGGGTTTGTTTGTAAGTCCCCGAGTTCCGATCGTCAAACTTTGCGCCTCTATTGTGTGAGAGAAGCGGCACTTGCAAGAGTGGAACTTTCACTCTCCCCACCCCCTGGCCGGGCTCGCAAGTTCCTCTCTCGCTCGTTCGCTCGCTCCCTCTCTCTCTTCCCCCCCTTTCTGCCATAGGATCGCTTACATGGAATCAAGTCTTTTAAAACCCCGCTTCCCCTTTCCTTCTTTTTCTCCTCCTCCTTCTCTCCTCTCCTCTCCTCTCTTCCCCTTCTCTTTTCTTTTCGTTGCCGATTCTTCTCTTCTTTCCCCCCCCCGTCCTCCCCCCTTTCTTCTTGCTCTTCCTTGCCTCTCTCCTTCCAAATATTATTCTAAGCTGGCATGAAAAAGTGATTAGCCGCGCAGTGATTGGTCCAGTTATCTGACTCGGGGACTGCCAAGGAGAAGACAATAGTTTTAATCAAATTATTTGCCATGGTGACGCTGTCAATCAAAAGTAACCGGATCTGTTGTGAGGTGGCTCCCCGGCTCAGTTGACAGATTGCTTCGAGCCACTCAGAGGCGGGCTCTCAGAGCTGGGATGTTACTAAAGAGTATTGGGGGAGGGGGGGGACGAAGGAGGTGGGGGAGGGGAAAGCAATATGCGCTGTGATTGACACTGCAAAACACAGAAAGAGGGAAAGGGTTCCCCGAGATCCAGCTTGGGCTGGTCACTGACTGACAGCGGGGGCGCTAGAACCACGGCAGCCTCCCCCCCCCCCCCCCCCCCCCC